TGAAACAAATATTAGAGAAGCATTTATCAAAAGGAACACCTTACAGCTATATTTTTCGATCTAGAAAAGGCTTATGATCTGACGTGGAAATATGGAGTAATGAGGGACTTGAGTAACCTGGGTATAAAGGGTAGATTGCCACAGTTTATTGATGGATTCTTATCTGAAAGAAAATTCAGAGTTCGTGTCGACTCTACACTTTCAGATGTGAAAAATCAGGAAGAGGGTGTCCCACAAGGCAGTATATTGTCCGTAACACTATTTAACATAAAAATAAACACTATAATCGAGGAAATACCACCAGGAACCGATGGATCACTATATGTGGATGACCTTATGATATGTTATAAATCAAAATATATCCACACAATCGAACGAAAACTGCAACAGGGTCTAAATAAAATCAGCAGATGGGCAACGACAAATGGATTCAAGTTCTCTAAAACAAAAACAAAATGTGTCCATTTTTGTCACAAAAGGAAACTCCATAATGACCCTAGGCTGAAACTTGACGGTTCAGAGATCCCAGTTGTAGATGAATACAAGTTTCTGGGGGTAATATTTGACAAAAAACTAACATTTATTCCCCACCTGAAATACTTAAAACCAAATGTAACAAAACATTACAACTACTGCGCGTGGTAGCCCACACAAAATGGGGAGCAGATCGAAACACTCTGTTATTATTGTATAGATCCCTAATTAGATCAAAATTGGATTACAGTAATTTTATATACCGTTCAGCCAGAAAATCCTATTTAAAAATGCTTGACCCGATCTACCATGGAGGTTTGAGGTTAGTACTCGGAGCCTTTAGAACATCTCCAGTCGAGAGCCTATATGCTGAGGCTAACGAAGCACCTGCAAATAGTAGAAGCCATAAACTGGCCCTCCAGTACTATGTCAAATTAGGGTCATGCCCAGCAAATCCTGCGTACAATAGTACCTTCTATCCAAAATACAAAAGAATTATTCCAAAGGAATGAAAAAGCCATAAAACCCTTTGGACTTCGGATGGAAACAATTATAGAAGAAGCAGATGTAGATTTGACAAAAATCCATAAAACAATCATACCAGATATCCCACCTTGGACCATAAGAACCCCAAACATAAACTTAACCCTCTGTAAATACTACAAAAATAAAACCCACCCACTAATTTTCCAAGAGGAATTAGAGAAAGTTAAGGAGAGATATCCTAGGCACTCACATGTCTTCACAGATGGATCTAAAGTAGGAAAAATAACAGGATGTGCCGCAATATATAATAGAAAAATATTTAAAAACATCTCCCAAATGACACCTCTATATTCAGTGCAGAAGTTTGCTTAATTAACATGGCTCTTAACCTCATCTCAGAATCAAGGAACAACAAGTTCATTATCTTTTCTGATTCACTATCAGTATTAGAATCACTAAAAAACAGGAAGTTTGATAATCCATTGATAGTGAAAATACTATGTAAATTAGAACACCTATCAAATGATAATGATATACAGATATGTTGGGTCCCAGGTCACACTGGAATCGGTGGAAATGACCAGGCAGATAAAGCAGCCAGGTCTACTCTAAATATGACCATAGAAAAAATTTCAAAATACCATATACAGACCTTAAAATGAAGATAAATAAATACATACTGCAACAAAGACAACAACGCTGGAACAGCAATAGTAATAATAAATTACTAAAAATTAAACCTGAATTGGGAGAATGGAAACAGAGCTATAGGAAAAATAGAAAAGAGGAAGTGATATTGTCCAGACTTCGTATAGGCCATACAAGGACAACACATTCCTACTTACTTGAAGCAAAGCAACAACCAATGTGTTATGCATGCCAGACCGCATACACAGTGAAACACATTCTCATTGAATGTACTGACCTAGCCCATATAAGAGAAACGCTTTATAGTGCAAGTAACATGAAGGAACTGTTCCAAAAAAAAAACTGACATGGATAACATAATATCGTTCCTGAAAGCAGTCAATTTGTACCAAAAAATCTAAAAACATAAAAAGTTGGGAGTTTTCTGCAAACTTTTGCTGCAAGGAATGTTTTCAACAAAATCTGATTCTTTCTGCATACCATTTCTCTCAAAAAAGGAAGAAACTTCCTACGATACAATTCTCTACAAAAATTTTTTTTGACAGAACCAGATTTTTTCTACAAACCATTTCATTTCTAAAAACCTTTTCAGCATGGCAAACCTCTCCGTTTGTGGAAATGGAAGGGACTATTATATTGGAAAATAATATTCCAATAATAACCTGATTTGACATTAAATGACTGAGGAGGTCGATATGAGACAAGTCTTAAAGCGGTATGGGCAGTCTTTATACCAATGCAAAGTCCCACAGCAATAGCATGGACTGGGTGGTAGTTTTTGCTGATATTGACTTTTTGAAGTAGAAAAATTTGTTTGATCTGTTTTTGAGGAGGGAAAATTGGTTTGGTTTGTTTTTGAGGATGTGCAAAAACATGTTTGTCGTTGTACTTTACATATGTGTGCGATGCCAGATTCTTCTATATCTTTCGAGTCCTTCTTCACGCTTATACATCTCTGACAGTCTTCAGCCAATTTTTGTAGCTTCAAATCTGGTTCACTCCAGTTTTGTAAGAATTCTGCGTCTGATCTCCACGTCTTTCAGCGAAACCAGGCCTTGAACAAATATTAAACATTTAAAATTGTCTGGGCTGAGTTCAGATAACTTAGTCATCACAGTGTTTATTTACAATGGAAGTGAATGTTATATAGTCTTCGTTGTCCTTTTTTGTTAGATTCAGACATTTCCATCTTTTGTGGAATAGTGAAGTATTTGGGCTAAATAGTTCTATTAACAGTTTTATGGCTTCCTTGAAAGTTAACTCATTTGTTTTCCTTGGTAGGATGTAGTCTACAAATTTAGTGTGTTCGCTAGACCCTAATTTTCTTAGCAGTAGACGTATTTTTCTCACATCTGACCAATTGCCGCAATCAAACTCATATAAATCTTCATACCTTCTGAAGTAAGCTGCAAAGGTTTTGTCTTCATCTGGTTTATACGTGAAATCTTTGATAGAGTTCCATATAGTATTTTGCGAGAGAACTATTTCAGTTTTGGAATTTTTCCCTTTATTTGTTATTACCTGTAGCAATAATTCTTGTAGTTCCAGATGCTTCTGTTCGTTTTTCTGTTGCTGCTCAAATTGTATTTCATAAGTTCCAATATGGTTGCCTTAAAATCTTCCATATTTACCGTAATTATGTGTAAGTTTTTTTTTTTTTTAGTTTAGACTTCAGGTCTTTGTTGTCTGTTATTCTGAAACCTTAGTACGGAAAAAAAATTTTCCTGTGTAGAATTTGTGTCTTTGTTACTACTGTAAAGTTGGTGTCCAAAAAGAAAATTTTCTCTTTTTTTTTTTTTTTTTTTTTTTTTATGTTTGTGTAGAACTTCTTTTTTTTTTTTTCTCACTACCTACATCGCCTCTGTTATGGATGACTGATAGTAAAAAGTTTTTTGTAGATTCTCCGCATAGAACTTGTTTCTTGAGTATACTTTTTTAGGTTCTCTGCGTAGAGTTTGTTTCTTGAGTTCCTCGTCGCCTCTGTTACGGGCGACAGATAGCAAAAAGGTTTGTCCTCCGCGTAGAATTTGTTTCTTCAGTTCCTCGTCGCCACTGTTATGGTCCAAGGTTAGAGCCAAGGAAGAACAACATGAACACAAGAGTAGAATAACAAAGATATATTACAACAGAAATATATACAAGAAGTTGAAGGTGTTAGTAATGACTGTCTGTCTGGTTTAGAGTGAACTAATATTGTCTCAAATCGTTACACCATTCATTCATTATACCTCTTGAGAGGCACAGTATTTATAGTGTCAGGAAGAGTCCATTATCATTATAGGTAAGTTCCCATAACAGTTTCACTGTCGCTCTCTTGTAGAAATGGATTCTGTGTATTTGACATAACAGGTAAAGAGGTAGTTGGGCTCTGGCTACATTCTGCCACAACAGCACTTGAACATAAATAGGATTTAATCCTGACAATACATTGACTGTTGGGGCCAGAAAGATGGGCATTCCAAGATGGAAATTACTCTACATTTTTCTCAAGCAGCAAAAACAAGGATTTACAAAGCATATATTAATTCTGGATCAACATCAGTAGCATGTGATAACCTCAAATGCCGAATTATTGGCAACTGATAAGGATGACATGCACACAACAAATGGAAACCTGGTATCAAATAACATTCCAGTTTAATGTTGGTGCTGCTCATCCTATCAATCAATGCACTTTACATTATACACTGCATTCCATGTGATTTCTTAGATGAATAACAAGATGGCAATTGGTTGCTGTGCATTACCTGGGCCAGAAAACATTGCCATTGGGCTTTAGAAAACTGGTATCCTGTTGCCTGGTCACACAAGTTATGTTTTCAGCTTTTTGGGATATAGTAAAGTTCATTTTTGGAGAAGAGTGCATGAGATACAGAATCTTGTCTGCCATGTCAGTAGGTTCTTGTGCAAATTGTTTTTGGTTCTGTAATATTATTAGGTGTGTTCTGCTGGTGTTTGCAAGGATCAATAGGGAACTCAATGTCTATTGGAAAGTATGACATACACAAAGGAAAGAAGTTATATCACTTGATTTCTGTTCCTCAACCAATAATGCTGTTCCCAATGAACATGGAAATACTATCTTTGTTAAACTTTTTTTTTAGCATCAGCAAAAGAAAATGAAAGAGGCAATGCTATAAACCATGCAACATTGAGCTGATCTTTGTCTTCTGATTGCTCATTGTGGTAATATGTAATTTCTTTTTTCTTGAGTCTTACCAAAGTGAAATATGTTTGATCTTTTCCTATGTTCTCATTTCAATTCCTTCTCCAAAATACAACAACTCAAATACCAAGTGCACTGACATCTTCAGAAAATCCCTTCCAAATCTTTCCCATCACTTCACTTAAAACTCTTCTCTCTTTTTAAACAGTTTTATTTTCTCTTTCAGAATGAAAGTTTTGATAAATTTGGTGAAGAAAATTTTCAATATTGTCTTTCTTCTTCTGTCTCCTGTTCGTCGGCTGATATGCCGCCGTCGCCGCCACTCTGACATGCCCATTTTACCTCTGACTACAACATTTCCTACTCCGCCAGCAGTTCCTATTCTACCACCTACAAACGAGGTGAGTCATCATTTCTTCACTCCTCACACAAAGATACACTCACATATTTCAAACTCACTGTTTTTTTTCTTGTTTTTGTTAAGCTATAAATTACATTCAGGTTTAATTTTTTTTTTTTTTTTTTACAATAAACAGAAAGAATACAAAGTTATTTTCCTAACTTCTCGGTTCTTATAAATAATGATATACTGGATTTAAACATTATCATTATTTATAAAATATTTGAACATCTCAAAATTTTCTAATATCAGTCATGCAAAGAGAACTGGAATAATTAATTTCAAAATTACAGAAAGAATCTTTCCAAATGGAAAACAAGTAATTGCAATGTCTTTTTATAAGTATTGCTTAAAGTCGGTTTTAATTTTGCATAAGGCCAGGGAATAATGGGGCATCAAGTAAAGGTAAACTCAATTCTTACAATGACTTTGGCTAATTTATTACTTACTTGACTATTGATCATCAGTTTTTTTTTTTTTATGTTTATATTTTCAGGGAGTGTTGGTAGCATTATCTAAAAATAAAGAAAACGATCAGTGTAGGCTTTGGTTGTCTTGTATCCTTAAAATAAACTGATATAAGGAATTGCCGTTTCGGTTTTACTTTGAATGAAATCACAAAACAGGAAGAAAGATTTTAGCTGATTTAACTCTATTTAGTAATCGGAAGAAATTTCCTTAATTTTTTTTTTTTTCTTAAATATTTTCCAGACAGAACTTCAATCCTGGGATTCATGGGGTTTAGATGAATCTCAAGGTCGCAATCGTGTTAAACAAGAGTCTCCCCAACCAGAACCAGAAATTGATTTCTTCCAAGGAATGACTCCAACCATTAAAAAGACAACAAAGGTCACAAAAACATTTTTCTTTTTTAATTTTAAGGCTTTGTTATTATTGTAAGTCGTTTTGTATTTTAGTTTTTCTCATCTATAACACAAAGTTTGAAATGAACCATACACTTGTCATACTGTTTAGAATAATAGCCATCTATCTTGATAAATTTAAATTAGAAAATGAGTACTTGAGTTTTTCCATTTTCCTATGATTAAAATAAACATTTGGATTCACAGAATATTTTGCAGTCAGTTTTTTTTTTTAATCTAATGATTTTAGGGTGAAGATGAAATTAGTCTGTTACAACATACTCTGACTCTGCTACAAAACAAGATGTAACTGATTTCACAAGTTTTCAATGTTTTTGTTGCTCAGCCCCTGAATCTTTCATATAAAAAAATGAATCTACATAAATTAATTTTTGTGTTAATCTTTTGGCTGTATTTAATCTATGAAGAGTAAAGTCTAGACTTTTATTTTATAAATTATTTGAATGTATCTATAATATTTCTGTATATAACAATAATTAAAATCAGTTTGAATTCACTTTGTATGAATGTTTCCATGCTTAATGTGTATTAAAAAAAATTTCTCTGGGATTTTAAGTGAACTATAATGAAACTATTATCTCCCTTGTGTTTAAAAGCAACCATTTTTCTGAACAAATTTCAGATCAAGATTTGAACGCAACTTTGTTTCAGTAATCTATATAAAATCATATTCTTGAGGAATATTTTAATTTTTTATTTTATTTATTTATTTTTTTTGCTGCTGTCACAGATAAAAATCAAGATTCTGAAAGCTAATTAAAATAGTGTATCATTCCCAACCATGAAAATTTGTTAGATTTTAGGTCCTGTATATATTTTTATAAAATTTTCTATACTCAGAGCAAATCTGTCAACATATTAGTTATTATCTTCACATAAATCTTGCTAAGTCTTTTTTGATGAGCACAGAGAGTGCAGCATTTAGATATGATGAGTGGGAGGTGTAAATTTCAACATTTTCTTATGAACTTTTATTTCACTCTTTCATCCCTAAAATCTCTAGTTTCTTGCTATCTAATAAATTTACATGTAAAAAATTAATTTCAATCAAAGTAGACATTTAAAACTATTAATGTTTGTTGTTCTAATGGAAAGTACATACCTCTTCTAGTCCTTGATACATACCACTATACCTATCTACATCTACTGATAGAGGGACCCTCTAGTTTCAATGTCTATACACTCGATACAACAATAAACTGAAAAACAAAATAACACAATTGGAAACAAAGAAAATCAACAGAAATGGATATAATTGCTTTTCCTAAACTCAGTTACTCAGGGTTTAATTGAATTGTTTGTATTTATTTTACTTTGTCAGAAATTTGACTCTTTTTATGAAGAGAATTTTATAAGCCAAAACATTTTAAAAGTTGATCAGAAATTTCCCAGACATTTTTATTAAATAACCAGGTGCCAATCTTTCTATCTGTTACTCTTCATATACTTTAAAATTTGTGTCTACTGAAAGACATCAGAATAAAATCTTTATACATATAATATCATAATAAATTCTTTCCACTGCTGCAGTATTTTGTGTACATGGCTTAAATTTAAAGACTGAAATATTTCCAGCATTAACATTTATTTCATCTTTTTACTTTCAGATTCTTATCAAGAAGAAGGATATGGACAATAGTGACAATAGTTCAAATCGCTTGGCAATGAATTCAGAATTTCCAGTGTCGGTGAGTAATTGTACCAATTTCTGATTTCATTTCACATGAGCTGCATTTGTCCATCAAATTTGATCATTGAGTGCTGTCATGTTTTTTTTTTTCCCCTCAGGGAGAGCTTCTCTCCACATTCAGAGCAGCTTCTGTAAAAATAGTTTTTATGAAATACTAAGCCTAACTTAGTTCGGCACAAGGCTATAATAGCAGGACACTCAGTATCAAACTCACTATTCTGCTAAGCATTGCTCTAGCAGATGTAAAACATTGTTGATGTACATGGCTTTAGCAGTGTTCTTTTTTGTATTTCAGATAAAATTGTCTTGCCTTTGAAACTAATTTTTATGAAGTTTTAATTTTAGTGGAAAATTTTTTTATTTTGCTACTGACACAGGAACAAAATATTTTAAAGGACAATAGAGAAAGATTAATTTGTTTATTTAATTCACTCCATCTGAAGTTAGGCCAATCAATTTGTATCTTGGCTCATACCAACATTACTTTAATCTTCTCCAGGCAATGGATTTACAGAAATTGGTCTTCTCTCAAATCAGAGTTGATTTAGATAACTGTGCACAATGCAGTTTATGGTAAATAAATTAAAATCACCAAATATTCTAGATTTGATTTGAGATTTATTTAATTTATACAAACTGAAAAATGATTTTTTTTTTCTCTTTTAACCAACCCAGGAACAAGAACTTGGGGTGTGGGAAGAAGCCTTACCCAGCTGGGAAGAAGCCAGTGAAGATTTGACATGGCAAGCAGATGCAACAATCAAAGAGAAGAAACGAGCTGAACGGGAAGCTCGGCAGATGGAGCAACAGAGACGGAAAATTGAAAAAGAGTCTCTGAGAGCAATCAAGAAAGAATGCACATTTTCTGCTGTACGTTTATCTTGATAGGAACCATTTTCTGCTGCAAGACTTTCATCATGAAAGATTGACCATCATTCAATGCTGCTTTTTAATTGCCTTTCTATCTCGATCAGAAATATTCTTAGACTTCCTTCATTTACTTGAGAATCAGAAAATTATGAACACCATTCAAGCCAACTGGTTTGGTACTTGCAGCATATTTTCACCAAACTGGAACTAAATCACCAAGCAGACAGTAATATGAAAAACTCCATTCCATACTGAAGGAAGAAATTCCTGTTGGCTGACTTTGTTTCAGATAAACTTCTTGGTGGTGGTGGTGGGGGGGGGGAGTAATGAGGTCAACTTTAATTCATGCTTCAACGAAGGTCACTTTTTTCTTTTTTTACTACTAACTAGCAAAGTCTCTCCCTCAAAACTTGGGTATTGGGTTAATTATTTTGTTTTAAATTCCATATGTCTGCCATGCAAAATGCTGACTTTTTTTTTTATATGGGGGAATCTAAGATTTAACTTGAAGCTTTTTTTTTTTTTCTCTTTGAACCTTTACCTGTGGCTAAAATTTCTTTTACTGCAACATCCAAAAAAAAAAAAAAAAAAAAAAAAAGCACATGTATATATCAGCTCAACTGTCTTTCATGAGAATCAAGCAGATTCCTTTCCTTTTTTTTTGTAAGGAAAGAAATAAAATTGATCTTATGTTTGTCTATTTTAAACTAGCATTTGTTTAAGTCTTATCTTATCACTTTGTATTTACACTTAATCTTTTTTTCTGACTTCCTTGAAAGGTTACAGCTAAAGTGGCTTTCTCATAGCTTCACCATCCTCTGAAGAACTTGGAAATTGACAGGATTTTTTTTTTTATGAGGCATTTCTTTAAATCCATATGTCTTCTTGGAGTCATGGTTTTTAATTCTCAATCTACATTTTGGCCTTAAAGACTCAGATTCAACATTTATTCATTAGACTTCAAGAAATCATTTGCACTTTTGACTGTATTATCCATCAGGCAAATATTACTTTTGTAATAGTTGCTCTGGAAAATTAGTACACATTTTTCTCTCAATTTTTGAAAAACTGAATCCAAGAACCAACTGCAGAAAAAAAACTTTATTAAATCCAGTACAGATCTTTTGCTTTGTTTTAAATATTTTTTTTAACATCAAATGAGCTTCAAGATTTTGATAGTCATGCAAGTTTTGTTTATAAACTTGCACTAAACTTTGAAGGCAGCCTTGCTCAGTTTCATGTGTTTAACAATTGAGGCTTGGCATGTATTCATTTGAGCATTTTTTTTCTCTTGAAACACTTAAAACGCTTTAAAAACATTGCAAATTTATAACATTCTTGCCCTTAAATTTTCTTGTTAATTTCCACATACTAAGATTTCATAAAATCTTAACTGTCTAACAATCAATCCTAAGCATTTTTTTTATAGGTTTCTAATACTAATAGACCTTTGAAAAGCTTTTTTAAATTTTGTGGAAGCCTTCAAAGTATTCATGTTTTTGTGGTAATTTCAAATTATGGCAGGGTTGTTCTTTTGAGTCAATATAAGCTTGACATTAGCCATACATGATCAGTTTTTGTATTTTAACTGAATGGGGATATTGGTTTCATTGTGTGCTGTGTCTAGGGCTTTCTTCCTGATATGTTTTATACTTTCTTTTCAGCAAGTTCTCAGAATTTTATGTATTCCAGAAAAATTTTATGAATCAAAAGAAGCATTTCAAAACAAATGGATTGTGAAAACATCCATCACCCGTATTGCCAGATGCACACTTTGTTATAAACAATTGATTTTGGAAGAATGTAAGGAGGCAATAAAACTGGAGCCCAGTAAACTGGGGGTGGTGGGTAGTGAGTATACAAAAAAAAGTGGGGGGGTGCAATAACAATGCAACACCTTGAATAACCAGGAATTTGATTTTATAGCATCGATAGTTTAAGCATTTTAAATTACTACAGGTTTTTCACTTGTCTAAACTAGCTCAAAAGGTTGAGTTCTAATAGAAGATTACATTCCTTCTTTTTGGCAAAGGAAAACTATATTAAAAATATTTGCTGAGTTGATAGTGCTATCAGAGTCAGTACATTATTTTGGTTGAAGACAAACATCCTCTAAAGAGTCTGTTCCACTCATTTTCTTTTTGACAGGTTTCTGAAACCTGTGATATAATTTTTTTTTTTTTTGTATCTTTACAGGATATCTAATAAGGAAATTAAGATATATCACATTCAACTGCAGGAATGTTATATCCCAGGGTTGTGATGGATAAGTCTGTTTTGCTTAGACTTAGAGAGAAAAAAAAATGTCCCTCATTCCAAGACAAGTTTATTGCTTGTAATATATGCTTTGTAGCTTTTTCTTCATTAATCACATTACATCCAAAAGACAGTTTAAAACTTGTTTCCAATTTTAGCATTGTCAGTGATGCAATTTTAAAAAAAAAAAAAAAAAAAAAAAAAAAAAAAAAAAAAAAAATCGAGTTTAAACCTTTTATTTTCCCCCTAGTTTAAAACTAAAAAACCTGCATATAAACCAGTCATACTAAACTTCAAGTGAACACCTTAAGTACTTGTTTTAAGAGTGATATACAAGTAACAATTTTTAGTACAACTTCCTAAAAATTGTTGCCACAGTAGTTCAGAGCCTCATCCTAATCAATGAATGAGATTAAATAATTATGGGGACTACCAGAAAAGTGTTTTAACAAAAACACTTGAAGGAAGAGAATTTGTAACCTGTAGTGTAAAGGCCCGATTATCTAGCAGATTCCTATAATTCATGTAGCTGACTATTCAGCCTTTGCTGAAAAAAGTAACCATTAAAAAGAATGAGTGATAGGTTAAGTATATCAAGTGGCATACAGCTCACTCCAGCAATCCTGTGTTATGTACTCAAAATCCACAATGTACATGATGGAAAATAATCCAGATTAAATAAACGTTGGAAGAAAAAAAAAATCCAAGCTTTTGAGAGAATCAAACATTAATTTTTCATTATCACCATTGATCTATCAAATGAACAGCTAACAAAGCTGTCAATTTTTTTTAAAAAGGGAAAGATTTTATTGATGAAATCAGTTGAAAGTATTTCTGTGAGAGAATTGCTTGTGCTGTTGAAAAAGCCAAAGAACAAATGCAGCTAAGGAAGGGGACTGTTAGCGACGCTTGTCAAGACTCTTAGGATATTTTGCTGAAATAGAAAATAAAATATATTCAATAGACTTAAAGACAAAAATTACGGGTTTCGTTCTTAAACAAGAGAAAAACTTCTAGTAACAAAAATTTATAAGTTACCTCCCCTGATCTTTCGTTAGCTTAAGTGGACGGCATCTACCAAATTTGTCCAGCATTCACTCTTGCAATTACGCTATTTTCTCAAAGAGATGAAGAGGAAACTTAAGGCAACAAAGATGATTCTATAGAAGGATGCTAAGAATACTATGGACAGGACATGTGCTTACGATAAGAAAAAGACAGTTGAAGTTTCTGGGAAACAATGAGAGGAGTTGGAAAATTTGACACTCAGGATATGAGTGTGTTTTTAAGTGGATTGCAGGACAAACCTTTTGAGCTACAAGGATTCGAAGTTGTGGAAAGTCATGATCACCCTCAAAGAATGCAGCACAGAAGAATTGCAAGAATTAAGAGTTGAACTGATATTTGATATGTAAACAGTCGAGAACACTCGACTTGTCAAGTTATTTTATAGAAAAGTCACCATTTTACAATCATTTTCTAGCCTGGTATAAATGATGCATAATTATCAAGACAGGAAAGCTTCATGCATTAGTGAAAATATTGCTCAAGTAAGCAAATTCTTTGTTAGGAATATCAATGGTCTTACCAACTTGGAAGAGGTATGTGTAGAGTATTCGTTTGCACGACTAGCAAATCAATTTTCCGCATTGAAACTTCGGCAAAATGAATTTCCAGCTTTGATTCATTTACTTCAGCGAACAATCGAGATGCCTCGTTTTAATAACATTTGTCAAGGCGACTTTATTTGGCCAAAGGATAGAGGAAAAAAGTTACTTACATACCACTCTGGCTTGTCTTTAGCGTTTCTCTCACCAAGAACTCTGACAATGAATTCTCCCTCGTGATCCTTGTTAGGACAGAATGGGACAATAAAATAATTTCCTTGTTCCAGATTCATCCGTTTAACCAATTCCCGTCTGACGCCATTCGAAGTTTCGTTGCACACCAAATTCAATTTGTTCAGTGCTCGTTTTTCGTCTTTCTCCGGATTTTTCGTCTGCCATAAGAAAATATAGGTATCTCTTTAGAAAAAAAAAAGATAGAATTCTCAGTTCATGAAGTGTCTACGTTTAAGACAATTTTAACTTTATATTTTGAATTATTTTGTCTCATTAATAAAGATGTTCATGATTAAATCAGCCAAGAAAATTAAGTTCTCCAAGAAGAGGCCGAAATCTCATGCCGATGGAGCCTCTTGATTCTGACATTTTTGTTCAGTGGCAAACCTCATTAACAATGATTTCGTTGTTATTCAGCTATAGATTTAAAATCTGGAAATTTTCAAATATCCAGCAGTAGAACAATACAAGAGTTCTAGAGTTTATGCTTTAAGTTAAGGTTTGTCTGCAAGCAGTATTTCAATTTTAGCTTTTTCCATATCTTTAGTGAGTTCCTTCTAATCGGTTAAGTCGACCAACTTTAAAAGTTTTTTTTTTTTAGCAGTGTGAGGAGAGATCTCAATAGCAGACAAATCAACGGCAATACTACGAACAATTTGGACTGACCAGAAGTAAACACTTAACTAAAGATGTCAAAATGTTAGGCTAGATTCAATTTTCCTCTCAAAATGAATGCTGAATATATGAACAGAGTTTATGTTGCCAATCACAGAATGTACATAATTTAAGTTTTACCTTATAGACTTTAAATCCTATCGGTTGTAGCAGGCTGTTGGCGGTGGAAGAGCCGTGTCTGTAGTCTTGGAGAAGAGAAATGATCACGTGACTCCTACCACTGAACGCAGGGTCCAAATCAGTTTTCCACAAGTCCAGTTTGTGAATAGTAAGTAACACACGTGGACACTGGTCAATATCCTCTTCAAATTTTCGTTCTGACAATAAAAGTAAAATCCATCAAGTTCAAACGAAGTCAAAGCTAAATGTATACAATCATTTTTTTTCAGCTTTTAAGCAAAACCGAAAGCAATAATTACTAATTGACTCGTCACCAACAGAGAAAGGAAAGTGATTTACGTGCTGAGAAATTAGGAGTTCAGTGCTGAACAAACGTTAAGTGTTCTCATTTTATAAATCATAAAAAGCAAATGAAATGAGTTATTAAATAGGTCTTTGGATTTCTAGTCGAGCATGAGATGGTAATTATAAATGAAATGTGCTCAATTTAGCTAGGATTGAATATTAGAAAATGTCACTGTCCACTAAAAGAACTGCAAATCGTACTAATTGACTTTATAGTTAAGCTAAAATTACTCACTATGCCACGTGCCATGATAATTGACCAGTTGACTCCAGCCGCCCGTGGGAGAGAAACGATCCATTTTAGACGCAAGAAAATTCGATTCTGACAGTGTACTAATTGCACCTAGGGAGGTTTTTCGCGCCTGGTTACCGACGAGTTTTAAGTTGCTGTCCTGCGATACCGGAACCGCCGTGGACACTCCTTGTGATCCATCACTGCTAGAGTGACAAAAGAGGGCAAGCCGTTCGTATCGACCCAGTTTACGATTCGGAAGAACTTTACTAGTAGACGGATCCTGACCACCGGAAATAGTTCGCCCTGAAGCGCTTTTCATGCGCACCTTAACGATTTGAACCAGGCTACCAAAATCGCTTGTAGTTTCTCCTATATGGCTGCCTTGCATTGTTAGCTTCGCACCGGCCGTTGAATTTCGATTCTCAACTTCGCTGGAAGTATTCCGGTTTGGTAAAACAGCTTCAGTAGAGATCACCTCTGAATTGGAAGTACGTTTGTCCGATTGGCCGAGGCTTGCTAGGAAAACAAAGATTAAATTTTAATATACATGAACATGACAAGATTCAAAAGACTGAACGTAATAGTACTATTGAGTAGTATCTACAGAGTTTTTATCGTTATATGTTTGGTTGATATAGTTATGTAGAGTCTGCTTATACAATTTTAAAAGTTGTTTCTTTAATATTTTATACAAAAGTCGAGAATTTCTCTTAATAGAATTGACGACGTGGGGTGGGGGTTGGCAAAGATATTTGCAAAGAATTCATTTTAAATAAGTTTGGTGCTAGAGTAATTATACGAATATAGACTTTAATAATCCCGATAAATGAAGTGACCAAGTTTAAATATTTTTTATAATTTCAAACAATAACAATTAAAAAAAAAAAAAAATCTCACCTCTACGGTAGAGAGTTTTAGTAGGAGATTTCTTTTGTGAGGAAACTTCTTCATCTTCCTCGTCTGTGCTGATACAACTCTTGAAGATCATTTTGCCTTTTTGTTTGTCTTTCTGGTCTGTATCTGACTTTCTTTGACAAGAGGAAACCTCAGTAATGGACGGGCTTGAAGAGCGGACAGTTTCCGCATCATTCTGAAACTAAGCAATGTTAAAATGGCTAACATTTTAAACTTTGGCAAATATTTGGTTTTGCTTTTTGGAAGAACAAATACCCAATTAAATTATTTTGAAGAAAGGTTAACAAGTTCAGACTATGGTCTTGTACCAAGCTTAAATAGCAATAGCTTCAAATTAAAAAAAGAAAAAAAAATAGATTGACTCATAGCTACAGTAAGAATGAAACTTTTACTATGTCCTTTGATTTGCTTTGTTCGAATATTACTTTTGAAAACTTCGATGTTTTAATTTTTCTATAAAAAAAAATAAAAAAAATAATTAGAAGGTAAGACTGGATCCGATTTGTGCCAGTTTATGAAGTCACGAAAGTGTCCTAATTTCAAAGTTCGAACTACATATCAATGTAATTCTAATTAGATTTTTAGCAGTTTTTCTATCTATTCAAATTGGATTTTGTCTATTTCGCAGTCGTATATGCGTAAATGGAGAAAAGGGCATTACACTTTTTAAAAGCGAACCGCCACTTTAAAGCCATTCTACTCTATTGAAAATGTGTTTCAACAAGTAGTTTAGAAAATAAGATACGTTATTTCAATTAATAGAATCTGAAAATTATTTCCTAATGTAGTCTTAAATAGTTATGTTCCATGTAATAGACTCCGCTTTAAAGAAAACAGCTCGCATATCAAGAGGGTGGAATATTTGATATTACAGATGAAGATATTTTAAATACTCAAAGGGTACAGAAGAGTTTTTCGTTCGACCCACTTCCTAAAAATTCTTTTGAGAGAACTTTTGTCAGACTGAGAATTCTTCCGCACCCTGTAGAAGGTAGTACTTCAGTTCTTTGAACTCTACAAAAATATACAAACAAGTTAAATGAATCTACAGGAATTAATACAACTTCGGACAAAAAGGATATTTTAAGTTATATTTACCTTGGATTTTGCCAGGTATTTATTACTTGGAAGCTGAATTGGAGATTCGTCACTCTGGGAGATGGAAGTCTTTTGTTGTAAAAACTCTTTCGCATCGATTCGGTCATGTTGTGTTGGTTGAAAACTAGACTGCATGCTAGCCTTTGTTGGGCTGGACATAGAGGTTCGGAAAGGAATAAGCGAATCCTCATCGGTTGGGGACACATTCCCGTCTTTTAAGTGGCCACTGATATCAGATTCTGTTGGAACCACCGGACGCAGAGAAATGCTCTTAGGTCTTAAAGTAGGGCTCACAAATGAATTTTTCGCCAGTGATTGTAACTTGGAAATTTCGTCAAGTGATCTTGAAGTCTTACCTCTATTAGAGTGTCTAGTCAGCGATTTAAGGCCTTCATCTTCACTTTTGGGACTCGTAGGTGGCGTTCGGTCGCTATTGGCCAAGTGTCCAGACACCATACTGCTGTCTTTCATTGTAGAAAAAAGCGAAAGCAAATCCTTTGAAGAGGAAGAGAGATTCAGTGTACTACTGTCTAGGCTAAGTGGCATAGCACATTCGTGTAAGAGTTCTCGTGAGGGACTTACTGATTTTCCCCTCAGCAGTGGTCTTGATTGGCGCCTCTCTGCTATAATGCTGCTGCTACTGGTTGAGGCATTACCAATACTCGCTTCGTTCGATTGCTCGTCGAACGAACCCTCGGAAGCCAGTGGGCTTCTGCCAGGAGGTTGGTAAGAGATCTTTCGGCGAACCCCTGCAAACGGAGGTGAAGTGGTTGGTGACTTCTTGCTTGTCAGCAGCTCCGGAGATACAGCTTTCACCGGTGATGAAAAATGTTCATATTGGAAGACTTTTTCATTGAAAGAACCTTTTGAAGAATCAGATGAACCTGGCGTGTTTTCAGGGCTGATCTGTGAATAATTGGCACAGAAATTATTGAACTTTCTAGCAATGTAAATTTTTTTAAATCTACTTACATCTGACAAATTTATCTTTCAATGATATCCTACTACGATATTCAAGACATTTAGTATAAAAAAAATAAAAAATTTCACATATCTAGGAATAATTTCACGTTCTGTAGTGGAAAAGAAATACCAAAGTGTTAATTTGAATTTAGGACAGTTTAGATCTCTATTACTTACTTTTCGATGGCCAAGTGATTCACTTGACGTCACTTTCTTGGTAGTTGTAGAGTTGGGAATTTCGGCCGTATAATTATCAGTCAAAGACCAGCTTCGAATTTTTAGGCAAGCGCTTTTAGCTTTGGCCAGTTGTGGCGTCTGGTGTGGAGTTTGCATCACAAAATGTTGGTCAGACCGATTGTATTTACGGGTGACATTAAGCCCCTCTTGGATGTACGGCTCTGAATTGGAGCAAATAATCATGCTACCAAAATTGCAACGGAAGTCCTCGACAGTCAGCCAATATTCGTCATCATCTTTGTTTTGGAGCGGTTGAAAACGCTCCATGAAATCTTGATTGATAGTGTTCCAAATGTTTTTTTCACTGACACAAGGAAGAGTTTAGACAAAAACATTTTAGTACAAGAGCTGTGAAGGATAGCGTAAAAAGTCCGATAGTTTTAAAAAGAATTCTAATGTTTACTTTAGTGGTAGCGTGGTGAGGTCTTAGCTAAATCAATGAATTCTGCTTTGGACACATTGCAAATTTTTAAATGTTTCTGAAACAGCGAGAGAAGAGGTTAGTAAATATTTAAATAGTCTTGCCTCGATCTTTTAAAACTGCTTTTAGCTACAATGCCTAGTATTTGATTTAAGTTTGCTGAAAACTGTAGTTAAATTTTGAGAGGTTGGGATTTATAAAGGAATAGAAATCTAACAGAATATTGCATTTTGATCGGTGCTATTTTTTTTGATACTGTTGTATCTGCAGTGGCTCTAATGCATTAATAGAATTCTTCTATAGTCTAAACAAGCTGTTAAAATACACGCGATGTAAAAAAAGTTTTAAAGGTTTTGTAGTTACCTTTTTCTGTCATTGATTTCTATAAAATAAAAGAAATACTCAATTTGTAGATTGTTTCTGTCAAAATTTAAAATTGGAATCAGCTTAAGTTTTGTTTTTTTTTTTGGAGAAAGATTTTTAGACTAAATTGATCTGTAACTTTTAAAGTCTCAGGATGAAAATATATAAACGCTTGTTTTCGTGACATTTTAAAATTTGTTTTAAGAACATCTTTGCTGACGTGGTAGCAGACGGGTGCAGAATTCATGAGTGAAAGCAGAGAAATGAATACAAAAAGCTTTCAGTGAATTGAACTATATACAAGGAAAATAAGGCTTAACACTAAGAACTGCTACTTTCTAAAAGGTTTTAAACAAAATTCCCCAAACTACATTTCGTGAACCAGTATTTTATCCTATAAGTTAATGCATTATTTTTCAGTATTAGATTTCAAAAGGTTTCTCATTCAAAACATACATTTGACGTGGCGTGAATAAACAAAATGAAATAATCGCATGGCATTAGAGTTGATTAGGTTAATTGGGAAACTACATTTCCTGTTAGCTGTTGTAAATCCCTACTAAAAAAAGTTTGAGTAAATCAAAAAGATCCTAGAAATAACATATCGGTTCTTACGAGTGACTAGTTCTAAATAGGATACAGAATATTGTGGATGACAAAAGAGAAAACATTTGAACTAGTGAATATGTTTAAGTTTGCATGCTAGAGAAAAGTAATGGAAAGTGAAGACAAAAGGTGTGTGCGATTCCCGGTGGAGTACACTGTTCTCCACGTGCAACCTACATTTTAACGTCACTGAGAAAAATACAAAAGGGTATGACAATGTCAATGGCTATTTAAAAGGAAACGCGCAGACGTAGTTGTAGACATGTGACAAACGAGTCTCGTTGATAATGGCCAAAACTGATATGTGCGTTTGTTTTAAAGTTTGTTTTTAGTAGAGTGCGGAGTGTGAGACTTAGCTAGACGAAAAACTGGTATGTAGTTAGAGATATGGTTTTTAATAATTGTATAAATTTGGCTTTAATTTGTTATCTGTATTTGTAAATTGTGTTTTTTCCGCCACAAATATAAATGTAGAGCTATAACTTACCTTTCTGAAAAACGGCCACACCATTTAGGTTCGGCAGGAAATGGACATTTGAGTCTGACCATTTCCAACATTCTGCCATCAGTGGTCTGAAACTAAGGCACCCAGAAATTTTTTTAATTAAAACGCATGAAATTGTTATAAATTGATAATTTAATGTTGCGAAACAATTTTTAAATTTCAAATTAAGGATTCCGTTTTGAATGTTTATTTAAAAGTACATTTAATTTTTAAAAAGTTAATTTCAGTGATGAAAAGTCATGAGAATTTCAGCTCAAGCCGTTTTTGTCGAAGATTCATTGAAGAGTTTAATGAAAATCCTATCGTTTAAGAATTCTGATGTCTGGGGAGTCATTTTTAGAATTAGGAAAAAGATTTTATTGGAAAAAAATTCTGTGGGGTGAGTACAAATGCTTTGACACTGAAAATACAATTTCGAGTCTTGTTTTTATTATTTGATAATTTACAAGAATTAAATTAATTAAACAAGAAGTGATGAACACATTTTTTCGCTGGCCTTGTATTCTGCCATAAAACAATTTATTTTAGTTGAATATGTCACGACTTGTGGAAGAGAAACGTAATTCTGGCCACACATGCAGCTGTGTTAGATTTACAGTGAAATTCGAAAATCTGCGAGACAGCTACATTAGAGAGAATTAAATACTAAATTTTAAAAAAATGGCCCAAATCCATGCAACTATTTTTTTTCCAGTCAGGCGATTTTTTAAGAGGCTAAATCAGAAATATAAGTCCATGAAATTGTTTTTTGATATTCCTAAGTGTGGCTCCCATACAGTCACAAGTCATATCCTGGTTATTAAAAAGTATATCTGAGCCGCCTCCCGTGGCGTGGAATCTGACGACTGTTTCTTTGTACCGGCAGGCGTATCACTTTGAGCAACGCTGTTCTAAAGGCAATAGAGTAGAAATAATTGTGGATCTGAATGCGGTTATTTGTCAAATTTACTCATTTGTCTAGCATTTGTATTTATTTAGTATATTAGGTTTGGATAAAGTATGTTACTTCATCTGCGTTGTATACAGTGCTTATATTGGCATTTTACATGATATTCGCTTTTAGTTTCAATTTTAAAGGAGGGAAAAGAGGGCGGGAACAAGAGAAGGAAGAATAAAAGTTAAAAATAGTTACAATTAACCGCATCCAGATCCAATTATTTCTACTCAATAGCCTCTGGAATAATTTGAAATAACAGTTAACGGCCTAAACACATGGCCTGAAGATTGCATTCAAGCACGAAACCGACCGTCGCCAATTGATTATATAATAAAATATAGTTTTTATGGTATGCTAAATTTATAGGGTAAGAGTGCTCAATATCCGGGATAAAGTGTAATATAAGAAACAGACTGTCGCTACTAAGTGTAAAATAAAAGAGATAGCAAACTATTTCAAGTAAGTTTTCGTACATCTTTTGGGGAATTTTTTTTTTATCAATGCATTTGAAATGAGACTTTTTCGAAGAAAAATTTCTTCGCGTTCAGGTCTAAGATTTAAAGAGTCAGTCAGGCATTTTGAAGTAAAAATAAATAATTGTATATTACCTTGGTTGCAGCTGTGACAATATGAAGATATCGGTGGTTATCTTCAGAGTCTTTCCAGCCAGAGGTTTGCTAAAGAGAAACGTATAAAATCATTGAACACACAAGTGATTCACTTACAATTTAAAGACAATATCAAAAGGTTATAAAACATTTTCAATGAAGTCGAAAAAGGCAACAATGACAAGTACAACCCTGCCGACCGAAATAGATATTCAAACATTTCACAATGATATAAGAGACTCAAACTGGGGTATATGATGTGCTTTGGTTGTTGTATTGTGTAAACCATCAGTAAATTAAAACAAGTCCCACTCAAGGCAGTTGGTTACTGAGTGAGATTATTGTAAGGGAGGAGGAATTAAGACATGCGTATTATAAGGACGTATAGGATAGGGTATCGGTTGACAGATTAAGTAAGCATCCTCTCCGATGTCGGTTTCACAAAGCAACGGTTACATTTTGTTTGTGAGATAATGGTTGCGGGTCGAGAATAACCTATCACCCAACAAAGTCGCGTAAGCGCTTTTTAATTCTGACGATTGGGCAGCACTAGTCCGGATATGTCAGCAATACTCCACTCTTGGGGCGCCAGCGGCGGATTATCTCAGTAACCCAGAGTTTTCGCTTACCTGGCGATTGGTTCGGAATCGGCTGTCTCTCAATGACAAGGCCTTCATATGGGGCTTAGCGGATTTGCCAGACTGAACGGTGTAGCCTTGGTTTAGAAGAAACGGTTTCGCACGCCTACCATTACGCCCGGGTCCGCCCCTTATGGGACCATGTCGGCGAGTTGAAGGCTCGTGTCGCTCCCGAAAAGCCGTACTCATGGATCGCGCATATGCGTGTGACAATGTATCGCTCCACCCCCCCCCGTATTATGGGGTGAAACGGATGGTGTTTCTTACGCTGCTGGCCACGGCTCGAATGGCGATTTGGACGACGCGACAGGAGTAAGTCTTGCGAGGCAATCGTCTTTCCCATCAGGATCTGATCCTATTCTTTGAGAATCAGCTCAAGATGAAGATTAGAACTGATAGGAAACGCTTGCATTCGACAGTCTTGGGTGACCGAGGCGAACTTGGTTCGTTTGAACGGGGCTAGCCTTGATTTTCTCTTTTAGGTCAACCTACGACACATCGGGGTGGTTTCCTGCGGAACCCTCCCCTTAGTTAGGTTAGGTTTGTGTACCTAGTTAATGTGAGTTATTGTTCCTGACCTGCTCCCGGCTGCCTCTTTGGTTATGATCCAAGTTGAGATCAAGCCGCCCTCCCCCCAGTTTGTTGCCCCCATTGCATCTCCACTGGGTCAGCTTTTATATTTCTCATGTCCATCTATATTTTCTCCTATTCCCACTCCCTTAGCAAGAGAGCCTCTTGATTTCGCCCATTGGGCGGAATACAGCGGCTTCTGTTTTGAGGGTTGGACGGGCCCTACTATCATCAGTTATGTTTAGTTTACTTTGTGTTCATTTTTAGTTAGTTTTGGGGGTTCATTTCCTCCCCTCTCATTTTAGTCATTTTTAACTTAAAAATTTTAAGTATAAATTTTATAATCATTAGATCTTTATGGTATGGGGCGCATTTTGTAGGACCCCCTTGAGAGGATGCGGTATTATGGTGTATGGAGGCTTGAGTGGTGAGGGACGAGTTTTTATGGTGAATGTGGAAATTGTAATGAGTGAATGGGTCGTGAATAAGATTAGCTAAGTATAAGAGTGTCGACCAGCCACAAACCCCACCCATTTCACGGCCTTGTGCCATAGTTGTGCATTTTCACAAATCTCAATACTCCACTCTTGGTCCAATCTGATTATTTTAAAGATGGGGCGTAGCATCGGGTGTTAGGCATTTTCTGTATCGATATAAGGAGCCTAACATTCTTCGGGCATCTCTTGCGATGGCACCGAATAGATGCGTTCTATTTGAGATCCAGAGTGACGTTTAAACCCAATTAGGCGTTCACGGAAAGTTTCTTTGAGTAGATGACTGTTCATCCGGATTGGTGAAGGTTTAGGTTCTGCTCGATGGTGATGAAATGTTACGAGTTTTGGATTTATTGAATGATAGCAGCCAGTCTTTTCCCTATTGGGTTGTGAGAGACGGGCCAGAAGAGAAATCGGTTTCCAGAAACTTGTTATCAAGATATTTGGAGGTGCACTCATACCCTGTGGTATTATCTGTATACATTTTTATGAAGGATCTGAGAGTGTTCTTGGACAGATCGTTAATATAAAACAGAAAGAGGGCAGAATGTAAGGAGAGAGATTACAGGACGTCAGTATTGATCTTATGCACAAAACGAGGACTGGCCATTAACGACTACCTTTATAGGCCTACCTGACGAGTAGACTTGATTAATTCAGCCTTTCATTTTCTATGGCTTTTCAAATTATTTAAGGCCAGAAAATAATTTTTTAGAATGTAAGAATTTATTTTGGGGGGATAAGTGATACAAGTTTAACTAATTAACCCATATCTGGGGGGTAGAAGTAGTTTCATACCTTTCCCAAGAGTATTTGCGCTTAAGTGAATATAACGAACCTAACTGGAACTGCTCTCCGATTAACAATTCCGAGCCATTATCCATTACAGCACCCGCACATCCAAGTTTACAGCACCTTGTATTCGAAGTGGTCACCCATCTAGGTACTGAATAGATCCGGGGGTTGCTTAACTTCGGTGATCGTATGATAACCGGTGTTTCAACGTGATGTGGATGTAAGCCCAGAAAAGACTTCATAACTTGAAGACTCCCAGAGATTCCATAGCTGATCAATTGCGTAGCAATCACCTGTGCCACATCTAGGGCGATCCCTCAAGGTATTTTATTATCAAAGCGCTTAAGATTCTATGCGTGATATTTCGGACATCAGCAGTGATCCTAGAAGAGAGAAAACCATATTGTTTGTCGCTCATGAGTGTTTTTGTCGAGGTGTACAACTTATTTAGGACAGCTTCAATGAATTTGCAAATGTCACAAAGTAGGCTTATGGGAGGCGATATTGTAGCGGGGGGCGAGAGCTCGCCCTCATTCTTGTACAGAGGACACACTAGGCAACTTCCATAGACTCTAGAAATATTTAAGGCAGCGGTTAAACAACTTCGCCAAGATTGGAAACAGCTCTAGGTCAAGGGACTTGAGAACAGGTTTTATTCAGACCAGTAGCCTTCGTAGATTCAAGGCTTTTGGTAAGTCAGGGAACCTCTCGAGGCTGATATTGAGATATCACAATACTTATACTCCGGAGTGGGGGGGAATGGTGTTTGTCGTCTAAACCTAGAGTTGGACGCAAAGTTCATAGCAAATAGATTAGCCTTATCCGACGAGGAAGAGGTTATTTATAATGGCGGGCACTGGCGGTTTGCCTCGATTAAGAATTGAGTTTACAATTTTCCAGAACTCGTGGGAGCAAAGATTTTTGTTCTCTACATTGGCTCGGACTGCCAGTAAAAATGCGTTATACCTTAAGTGTGGCTTGGCATATTGTACATGTTGATTGATCTTCATTCTTCAGCAAGTATGAATAGTTGAGGTATGTGTGTTCAATGCGTAGACGAGATAGGGTTGCCTCATCTTTTCTTCGTTTTCTAGACATTTGTTTCTATGCACCTAGGATTGATTTGATTGTGCGAATCTTACGTTGTCGATCAAGCGCTTCTGCCATTTTTGTCGAATGAAATTGTTTATTGTACTTTTCAGGCCCTTATAAGGAATCTTGAAATTATCAAAAGGTTTCATTTTGGTCAGACTTCACGGCTGAATCTGCTTGGACATTTCCTCTAATTCCCTTGTGGTATGGGATCCAGCGTAGCACGATTTATTTATTGTTTGAAAATGAGTAGCCTTGCATAGCAATTTTACCAGCAATTGGTTGTCAAGTTTGTTTGTTTTTTTTTTTTATTGCTGTTATAAATAGAGAATAAGAGAATGTTAAATATTTTTTATTTTTAGAGATGAAATCGAGTGCTTTGAGTATTGCACAAATCTCTGCATTGAAAATTGAAGTTTCTTTTGGCAGATGTTTATTTCTCGTTATACACTGCTGCATATTCGATTTCATTTTTGTATTTTGATCAATCCATGAATATAAATTTTTATACAGGAGAAATTCTAAAATTCTCCAAGCGACAATCCCAAATCTTCATGAAAGCTTGGGATAAGTTGATTTTGAGAAGATTTCTTTGCAGATTGGTAATTTAAATTTCCGTAGTCCAACATGGATCGAATTAATGTTCTGTATAATTTGAGCGGCGTTTGCCAATCTGCAAATTTTTATTGCATTTTGTTTTCAGATCTGCTAAGTGTGATATGAACTTGTCAAGAATTATTCCCAAGAAGTTGTATTCGTCTATCATTGGGTTTTCTGTGTACAAGAATTTAATTTGCTCACATTTTTGCTAATAATAATTTTTGGCTTCTGTTATTGCTTTATAAGCCTTTAATCTCTTTAGGTTTTGCTTTTTTTCTAGATTATTTTGAGTTTTTCTTTGGATAATTTTTCACGTTTTGCCAAGTCGGCCTTGCTTAGCCTCCATCTATGTGGGTGCTCATTGATCACCTCACCATTCCTCAGGATGGTGGAGAAATGGTCGCCACCGCATATATCACCGTACACTCCAGGTAGAACTTGGGCAATTTGCTGGATCACACATGGCTAGATCAGTTGCTGACAGACTTCCAGTTGTTGGATTAATGCGTGTCTTTTTTTTTTTGGTTGAGTAGGAACAGATCATTGTCCATAATAAATTTTTCTGTAATCTTTCCTTTTTTGTTTGTCTACTTGGATCCCCAGATGGCATTGTGACTTAAAATCCCCTAAGAGAATGAAGGGTTTTGGTAATTGCTTTGTGAGATCTTCCAGCTTGTCTGGCTATCTGGTTATGCGGTCCGATATATAGAGAGCATATGTTGACTGTTCCGTGTAAAGTGGCTCTCACAACAGCTGCCCGGAATTCAGTTTGTAGTTCAATTTTGCTCTGGGGGTAGGTCGTTTTTATTAAGACGATTACACCTCCATAGTCCCGAGTCCCGACTTGTGAATGTATTGTTGATCATTTCTAATATAAAATGATTTTTTAATAAAGGTTATTTTGGAGACTACAGTGTCCAATGTTATTAGCAAGAGTAATAATTATAATTTGGCTTTAGCCCACGACAGTTACATTGGGTTATTCGATATAACGTTGTATTTTTATTTGCGTTTTATGCTTTAGTGTTTTCATTTTTTTTTTTTTTGTGGGTTATTATCCATTCTCTCTAGGATCATGAATTTATTTTTTCAATATTTACTTTCCGGAGATACCTATTTTGAGAGTTGGTAAACTGACTGGTTTTGTACAAGTAGCATTTGAACTTTAGTTTGTGGGTTTCAAATGCGATGTTAAGATTTATTTAGTATTTCTGTTTGGCAGCTTTCAGTGTTTTTATTTTTCGGATTTCTTGGAATTTGGGGGCAATCGTTTGGTCCTAGTTGTACTAACTGCTTGATGAGTGCTCTATATTTGTCTGTTTTGTTGTTGGATTCACCTTCCGAGATACATTGACATGGCCTTTCGTATACGAATCCACTACTTTGCTTGCTTCTGGCAAGATATCTCTTCTATACTTGACCTCCACGATTTTTCATTTTATATATATATATATATATATATATATATATATATATACACACACATTTCGAAAAGCCTGGTTGGTTCCCTTGATAATTAGAGCATTAAGTATCCCGAGCACAATCTTGCTTTTTTTTTTTTTTTACCATTATGTCTATAATTCAGACATTCGAAACACCTAAAGGGATTGGGGATGTATTGTTTTAACAATATCATAAATCTAATTGTTTCTTTAAAATTGGAAGTGTGAGTGTGTGTGTGTGAGAGAGAGAGAGAGAGAGACCCCCCTTTTTATGCTGCTCTTTCTATAGTTGGTGACCCATTGCTTCCCTAAGACTTCATTTATTTGTTCTGGTTTAGCCAAGCACAGCTCTTTATTTCTAATAACTGCTTTTAATGGGTTATGTCATTAATGCTGGTAAGCTATAAATTTTAAATTGTGGAAAGACTTCATTTTAAGCATGTTATCCACATATTTCTTATTGTTCACAAGATTACCACTTTTTTTTTTAACACTGTTCGAGGATCGTCTCTGTTGGTAATTTTTTCTATTAAGCATGGAGACATTGGCCAGATGAGTTTCTTCTAGAAATTTGAGTCCAGGGAATTTCGTTCCGGCTTCTATTTCTGAATCAGTCACAGATTTAGTTTGTTTTATTTTTTATTGATCCTGTGCTCCACCAGAGTCCAATTACTTTTGGAAATAAACGCATTCGCCCTGGTCGAGAGTGGAATACATCAACCAGTATACTCGCCTTCTGATAGGACTTCGAGACTGCTAATTTAGTGCTTCAGTACTCCCTCCTCCATCAAAAAAATAAGTGATGCTTTAATATGAAAGTGATCAAAATTTTTTTTTACTTTTCCACTAGATTGACCCTCAGCCATCACCTTTAAGCACTTAGAATAATGAAGGGCTTAGTGTTAGATCGCCATGTGATCCATTTGAGATACATTGTCGGGCTTAATTGTATAGGTGATAGGGTTTGATATGACCAGCCGATTGATTGAATCGTGCCTCTCCGACCGCCCGTCTAGCCCAAGTAAGGACCCAAGAGGAATACTGTGTCACATGACCATGTTTTTCGTCAAAAGGTTCTCTTCCTACGGAGATGCAATGTAGTACAAAGCATTTTTAGAGTGGGAAGTTGTGGACAACTCAAAAATATTCTTTCTTACATATTGCGGTAATATTAGTGTAGGGGAGAGAAGCCCAGCTGAACTAAGATTTTGTAATTGATTTCCAGTGATGAACAGTCAACCCTAACGGCAAACTCAAGCAAGTATAAAATCAAAATGTGATAAATCAGCTTATCAAAACAGGTCATATAGTAAATCATTTCAGACAGGATCAAATTTAAAAAAAAAAAAAAAAAAAAAAAAAAAGGAGGAGAAAATACATCAAGAATATTTACTTATTAAAACAGAATGAAGGTTTTAATTGTCGAAAGGCAGAAGAGAAGTTTTGTAAAGCAGAATATATTTTTTAGCTCAGTTACAAACAATAACCACCACAAAAATGTCTTTTAGATAAGTACTACCTACTTTATAGTCCATAGCCAATAAATTCTTAGTGTTTATTTCATTGCTGGCCCTGGAATGACTTTACCATCTGCTACACTTCTATTCAAATAGTTAAACAGTTGATCTGTTTTAAAAAGGTGCAAGTGATAATATGCGTCAGACAAATGCAACCAGTGAACATGCGTCATAATCTTTGCGCAGCTCTGCTTTTGTGTTGAAGTTCCGTTAATTGTCACTCGTGGTTGCCAAAGAAGCCTTAACAATTCTCGGCCAACATTGCAACGGGAGCTGCCCATTTGATTCCTTGTAGGCATAAATAGATTAATAGCAAAGAGAATAATAGACACTGCTGAGCTGAGGTCGGATAGAGACCGAGAAGAAAACAAAACGAGGAGTGAGAGAATAGAATAGAGAAAAATGTCAACATACCGACGCCGGTTGGTAGACAATGAAGCCGATGGGCGTTAGACGTTTCTCACTGCGCCAGCACACAATGAGCGAACGGTTAAAACAAGATATATGTAGTAAACGAAACAGGTTGTGAGGAGGATTCACGTCGGGGGTAAAATATTCGCAAAT